GAATAAACCTATGCCATCAAACTTCAAGATATTTTGTATACCAATATAGGAAAGGACCTATGCCATCAAACTTCAAGATGTTATGTATATCAATATAGTAATAAACCTATGCCATCAAACTTAAAGATATTTTGTATACCAATATAGGAAAGAACCTATGCCATCAAACTTAAAGATATTTTGTATACCAATATAGGAATAAACCTATGCCATCAAACTTCAAGATGTTATGTATACCAATATAGGAATAAACCTATGCCATCAAACTTCAAGATATTTTGTATACCAATATAGGAAAGGACCTATACCATCAAATTACAAGATGTTATGTATACCAATATAGGAATAAACCTATGCGATCAAACTTAAAGATATTTTGTATACCAATATAGGAAAGAACCTATGCCATCAAATTTCATGATGTTTTGTATACCAATATAGTAATGAACCTATGACATCACACTTCAAGATATTTTGTATACCAATATAGGAATAAACCTATGCCATCAAACTTAAAGATATTTTGTATACCAATATAGGAATAAACCTATGCCATCAAACTTCAAGATATTTTGTATACCAATATAGGAATAAACCTATGCCATCAAACTTAAAGATATTTTGTATACCAATATAGGAATAAACCTATGCCATCAAACTTCAAGATGTTATGTATACCAATATAGTAATGAACCTATGCCATCAAATTACAAGATGTTATGTATACCAATATAGGAATAAACCTATGCCATCAAACTTAAAGATATTTTGTATACCAATATAGGAATGAACCTATGCCATCAAACTTCAAGATGTTATGTATACCAATATAGGAATAAACCTATGCCATCAAACTTAAAGATATTTTGTATACCAATATAGGAATGAACCTATGCCATCAAACTTCAAGATGTTATGTATACCAATATAGGAATAAACCTATGCCATCAAACTTAAAGATATTTTGTATACCAATATAGGAATGAACCTATGCCATCAAACTTCAAGATGTTATGTATACCAATATAGGAATAAACCTATGCCATCAAACTTAAAGATATTTTGTATACCAATATAGGAATGAACCTATGCCATCAAACTTCAAGATGTTATGTATACCAATATAGGAATAAACCTATGCCATCAAACTTAAAGATATTTTGTATACCAATATAGGAAAGAACCTATGCCATCAAACTTAAAGATATTTTGTATACCAATATAGGAATAAACCTATGCCATCAAACTTCAAGATGTTATGTATACCAATATAGGAATAAACCTATGCCATCAAACTTCAAGATATTTTGTATACCAATATAGGAAAGGACCTATACCATCAAATTACAAGATGTTATGTATACCAATATAGGAATAAACCTATGCGATCAAACTTAAAGATATTTTGTATACCAATATAGGAAAGAACCTATGCCATCAAATTTCATGATGTTTTGTATACCAATATAGGAAAGAACCTATGCCATCAAATTTCATGATGTTTTGTATACCAATATAGTAATGAACCTATGACATCACACTTCAAGATTTTATGTATACCAATATAGGAATAAACCTATGCCATCAAACTTAAAGATATTTTGTATACCAATATAGGAAAGAACCTATGCCATCAAACTTCAAGATGTTATGTATATCAATATAGTAATAAACCTATGCCATCAAACTTAAAGATATTTTGTATACCAATATAGGAAAGAACCTATGCCATCAAACTTAAAGATATTTTGTATACCAATATAGGAATAAACCTATGCCATCAAACTTCAAGATGTTATGTATACCAATATAGTAATGAACCTATGCCATCAAAGTTCAAGATGTTATGTATACCAATATAGAAATGAACATATGCCATCAAACTTCAAGATATTTTGTAAACCATTATAGGAATGAACCTATGCTAAATCCTATGCCATCAAATTTAGTCAAGATGTATTTGTCAATAGTATTCAGTGTCCAAAAAGAACCGGGATTACCCACTGTGTACAGTGATGGGGTGCACTGTGTATGAATGACCTGCCGTGTACAATGGTAGATTGTCTATGAATGATCTTGAGTGGATGCTGGCCCAGATTAACCATCAAGAGAAAGAGGGCAAAACAAAAATACTCATACAGAAATAAATCTAAACTTGAAAAAAAGACCCATAACTAGGGTTTCCCCAAGATATTGGTGCTTTTTATCCAATACTGAACAATTCCCTTCCTACTGTTACTAATGTCCTCCCTACATCACCCCTAAATAATGTCACGCTTACATCAGCCCTACATAGCGTCATCTCTGCATCACCATAATGTCCTCCCTATATCACCCCTAAATAATGTAATGCCTACATCAGCCCTACAAAGTGTCACCGTTTCATTATCTGACAGGGAAAAGTATTTTCAGGTTAATAAAAAGCTGATAAATTCTAATTAATTACCACAAGCATATCTCCTGCTGCTCTCCCTAAGGGTAGAATGATGCAAAACTAACAATTCACCAAGTTTTAAGTGTAGAATGATATAAAACTAATATTTGAGGTAGATTAAATGTAGAAGGATGCAAAACCAATATTTGACCTGGATTAAATGTAGAATGGTGCAATATCAATATTTGACCTAGATGGCATGTAGAATGCTGCCAAACCAATATTTCACCTAGATTTGTGTAGAATGATTCAAAACTAATAATTCGCTTATGGCCACAAAGCATCACTACAATTTGAATAGATGAAAAACTTTCCATGGATCACTACTATATAAAAAATAAACTGCGACTTTCTTGCTTTCAAAGTGTATGATAATATATGAGAATGACATACAATAAACTAATATTTTACCTTACATATGACATAAAATCTATATGTGATCAGGACATAATCACAAATATCAAGTGTGTTGCTCCATAGTTATATAACAATTCACGTTTAAAAGTTTGTCCGTAAAATATGTTTGTAAATAAAATTTGTGAAGACTTTAATTACTTATTGACAGTTTATTTTCTTACAGTGAGTCAGAAACACTGGTATAGCTGAAACACTGGTAAAGTTGTAACACTGGTAAAGCTGTAGCACTTGTATAGCAGAAACACTAGTATAGCGGCTTCATTTCTAATAAATATAGGAGCAGATGTATTAAGGACAATGAGCCCTACACACCAATTAGTCATAGATTCCCAGAGGAGAGTTCATGCTATAATTAGCTAAAATTTCTTTTTGTAACTGAATTATGAACATAGATGTTCAAGTAAAAAAGCTTACAAACAGAAATAAAATAACATTTAATCTCAGCACCTAATTTAGAATTATCAATTCGTGCAATACATTTTGTGATTTTTTCACATTGATGTAAAATCTAATAATTGTCAAATGACTGGTCAATATGTAGTTTTCTGTGGTCAAAAAAAGGTGTTAAATTTAAAAAAAATAAAATAAAATATGTACGTATAAATCTTTATATGCATTTTTGTGGGACTTAGCGATGCCCATGGTTCATATTTCCTTCATCTTCCCCTTTTAAAACAGAAATATTTTATTTTAAGACAGTTGGGTGGGGCTGAAAATTTGAAAGAAGTGTTGTCATTGGCAACGTGCATATGTCATAACTTTCAGCTCGATAAGATGATGAGGTCAATTTCCCTTATGAAGATTTTGAAAGAGAGAAAAAAAACAAAAGCATAGTTAATATTTGGGGGGTTGGGCTGAAAATTTGACAAATCATTCATTCAAGTATACGAATCCCAAAAGGCTCGCCACAGCATATTTTTTTCAAGCCCCTGAACTATATAAATATTTGAATGTCCCACCCGCTTTCCCACCACAGATTTATTACACCTACCATTTCAGGAAAAGAAAAGAAAATATTCCACACTGAACGCACTTGCTGTATTTTTAAGAATTTAAAAAATCTCATTTAGCGCAGTTATTGAGAATTTTTATTTTGTGAAAAAGTAGCATCATATTTCCTTCATCCTCGCCTTGAAAAAACAGGAAATCTGATTTTTGGGATGGGGCTGAAAATTGTATAGAATGTGTTGTCATCGGCATTGAGTCTAATGAGCCAAGTTGAAGTTCGATGGAATGATGGGAAGTGGGTCCATAAACCATCTGAAGATTTTGCCAAATACCCAGAAAGAAACATACAAAACAAAAGTAAAGTTAAAATAAGGGATTTAAAAATAGTTTACTTAATAAAGAGAACAACCTTATCTCATGAAATCATCATACAGACAACATGTTTGTTAAAGACCCATCGTTCATTTTGACAGCGAAATCTAGGGGACATAATGACAGCCAGAGTGTATGTTAAAGTCTCAAGTGTAAAAAGGTTTTATACAGTTTGGTTAATAGGACCAGCAAAATTTGTAAATTAATTTGGATTTCAAAATTTTTTTATTTTATATGCTGAACTGACCTCTAGTTTTAACTGAACCACATGAATTTTATATCAAACAAATGCAGCTTTTATTAATATAATTTGTCAATCTTTACTGTGATGATGATATCTGTACTTACACCAACTTGTAAACTGACAGTGATCTTGGCTTTCATATAAAAGACAGGCATCTATTTTCCGAAGTGATTATCCTTGAATTCAGCTAACCCCATTATATCGAGTTGTGAGTTTGTGGTGTGACATGTGATGTTATATCTAGTGGTGTAGTTTGAAATGTAATCTTATATCGAGTGGTGTGATTTGACATATGATGTTATATCAAGTGGTGTGGTTTGACATGCAATGTTATTTTGAGTGGGATGGTTTGACATGCGATGTCAGTTACTTTTATACATATTAACTGTTGGTTTACTCTTGTGTTTATTAAAAAATAAACATTTGAGGATTTTTCTTTTACCATGATAAAAACATGCGTATAAATCAACAGCTGGTTTTCTGTTTCAAAACCAGAAGCCAGTCTTCCTTTAACATCTTTAGCATAAAGCAAAGAATCCATCCCCCACAGACACTCACAAAAAAATAAATAGATTGATTTGACTTACCTTTATCTAGCTGAGGTGGGGGGCGATATTTAAATCCTGACTGACTCCAAAATACAGGTATGGAACCCCGCACTTGCACAAATGACACCAGGTGTGGAGTAAATTCAATAATCTGCAAATAAAAAACACATCAGATGACTGTCACCAACACATCAGAAGTATAATTTTAGATGAGTGTCCCAAAACATCTACTATTTAGTTACTGCTATAAAATGAAAACAAATATTAACTTTTAAACATGTTTTGTCAAATTTTCAAATATAGTGTTACAAAGTCAAGAACTTAAAAATAAAAAATGAAATTACAGCAAAAATTAATCAGTGACAAACTAAGCAGTGACTAATTAAACAGTGACAAATTAAACAGTGACAAACTAAGCAGTGACTAATTAAACAGAGAAAAATTAAACAGTGACAAACTAAGCAGTGACTAATTAAACAGTGACAAATCAAACAGTGACAAACTAAGCAGTGACTAATTAAACAGAGAAAAATTAAACAGTGACAAACTCAACAGTGACAAATTAACACAGTATTACCTGCTCAGTCTCAACATAATTTGCACAAGCTCCATTTGCATTAATTCCCCTTTTTCTTGATCTTGTTCCTAGAATGAAGTAGACATTTATTTTAGTAATTTATTAATTTTAATTTGATTATTTATGATTTTTTGTGAGGTCATTATGAATTATGCTTTAAAATGAGTTTTATTTTTCTTCTAGTGAACAACACAAGTGGAACAGCAGGCTGAACTATTTTTTTTTTTTAAATTTTAATGAGTGTTTGATGAACCTGCTCTGTGCCGACTCCTCCGAGATATGATGCTGATGTTGTAGCCCAGTGGCTCAAGTCTTCGGCTTGAGAAATCTACAGAACTGGACATGTCCAGCTTTTTGTCTTCATCAAAGTCCATGATGCACTTCTCCATCTGAACAAAACCTTGAATAACAGGCACCATCCAGTGGTCAGCCAATGGATCCTGTGTACAAGATTACATTCACAACCATTAAATATGATCATTTTTGGAACTTGGTAAAAACTAAATTCTAACAAACTTTTCTATTTTAAATAAATCAAAATTATTATTACTATCTACCATTAAACAAAAAATAATTCTATAACAACTTACCACAGATGGACAGTTATAAAAGATGTCTTAATTTTAAAGTTGAATTAAAGATAATATATGAATTATTAAAACATTATTGTAATGAAATGATCAAGAACATTTTAATTTCTAACATACACGAAACATTCACAATGTCTCACCATTCACAATGTCTCACGGTTAGTTTTGTTAAAGACTCTAGGGGAAACAATCAGTTTTATTGTTGAAACACATGACCAGTGTCAGCATAAACATTGACTTGTAATTGTTACACACGATATTTTGTATTTTATTGTGTGGTGTGTTTTATTGTGTGTGGTGTGTTTTATTGTGTGTGGTGTGTTTTATTGTGTGGTGTGTTTGATTGTGTGGTGTGTTTTATTGTGTGGTGTGTTTTATTGTGTGGTGTGTTTTATTGTGTGGTGTGTTTTATTGTGTGGTGTGTTTTATTGTGTGGTGTGTTTTATTGTGTGTTGTGTGTTTTATTGTGTGGTGTGTTTTATTGTGTGGTGTGTGATTTATTGTGTGGTGTGTTTTATTGTGTGGTGTGTTTGATTGTGTGGTGTGTTTGATTGTGTGGTGTGTTTTATTGTGTGGTGTGTTTGATTGTGTGGTGTGTTTGATTGTGTGGTGTGTTTTATTTTATTGTGTGGTGTGTTTTATTGTGTGGTGTGTTTTATTGTGTGGTGTGTTTGATTGTGTGGTGTGTTTTATTTTGTGGTGTGTTTTATTGTGTGGTGTGTTTTATTGTGTGTTGTGTGTTTTATTGTCTTTATTGTCTTCTTCATGCCAGCTTGGCTATATATGTTTGCATTATTGCAGATGATGGATAACTGGGATTTACATTTTTATTTTTTGGTAGGACTTGTGTTCAGTTTTAATGTGATGCGACGCAAGAATGTGTGAATAATTTTCATCGGCAAGGTAAAAGCTTACATTTGTTTCCATCAACTCTAGCAGCATGTGCTTGTTCCAGAAAAATCTCTCATCCGCTCTCTTCCACAGTGGCAGTGACCTGTCATAACTTTGGCTGTACTGACGCTGCAAACTGGTCGTCACATCAAAGTCATGACTGTAGTAGAAGTAATTCGAGCCGTTGTACATCTTCATCAGTTCCTAAAAAGTCAGACAAATAAAATATTGTATTCATTTTTTAACTGCAATAAGGTCGTGGAGTGTAGGGAGTCGGTCTCAGGAAACTCAGAGTTCCCATTTAGGATCTCTAAGAAAATAGTTCCCCAAAATGTATAGCTGGGGCGGCACGATTCATCCGTTTATTTTTAACAGCAATACAAATCTAACCCTGGGTGAAAATGAAATAAAATTGTTCAAATAATAAATGCTTAATTTTTTCAATAAATGAGTTAAACGCGATTTTTTTTATGTATGCTAGTAGATTTTTACTTAATGTGTTCAATAAATGGGTTGAACATAATATTTCATGCTGTAAGCTAGTTGAATTTTGACTTAATGTGTTCAATAAATGGGTTGAACACAATATTTCATGCTGTATGCTAGTAGAATTTTTACTTAATGTGTTTAATAAATGAGTTGAACACAATATTTCAAGCTGTAAACTAATAGAGTTTTGTTGAACATAATATTTCAGTGCTGCAGTAGAATTTTAACTTACCTCAAGTATTCTCTTTTCAAATTTCTCTTTATCTTTTGTCTCTTTCTAAATAAAAAATAAATTCAAATATATAATTTGTTGAAAATTTCTTTATATTTTGTGAAAAACATTTTATTTAATACTAGTTATATTATAAATTTCTTACTAAGCCAACAGTTCTGCTATTATTCTAATGTTATGTATGTGTAATGTTTTATTCACCTTAACCTGGTTAAAAATTATGAGAATACATTTTTTATTTTAAATAAGTACTAGATCTAGCCCACCTTGATGACAGCAATGCCTGAACTTCCCATCTACTAAAGTAATATGAACTCAAGTAACGCACATCCCAATTTTTGCTACACCCCTTCCCCCTTCACTGCACACTTTTTATTTCACGCACATGATCTATATTCAATATTCTGATGTCCCAACCACTTTTAAACAGAACATACCTAAATTGAGATGATTTCATTTTCCGAAAAGAAAATTTTACACAGTTGGATTATTAAAATAATATATATATATATATATATATATATATATATATATATATATATATCATATAGCGTAATCTATAATTATATTTTGCGCTCTAGTGAACTTATTATTGAACTATACTTTCTTTCAAACATATAAAATTATTTTTAATATACAAAACAGAACATACATAAATTGAGATGATTTCATTTTCCGAAAAGAAAATTTTACACAGTTGGATTATTAAAATAATATATATATATATATATATATATATATATATATATATATATATCATTTAGCGTAATCTGGAATTATATTTTGCGCACTAGTGAACTTATTATTGAACCATACTTTCTTTCAAACATATAAAATTATTTGTAATATACTCTCAATACCAAATACGCTGAATAGGAAGCAGTCCACAGTCACACCAGAAGCGTAATATATATAAGAGATGTCAACAATAATCAAGATATCAATTTGAAATTATTATTTCATGTTATTTTTTAACCAAATGATAATCAAGTTAAATTATTTTCTAAAATTTTTTAGGGGGATTTCTATTTAGAAAATAGGTGGACTTTCAATTTGTTATCTCAAATAACTGCTTCTTATTTGATAATTGTGTTGACTGACTCTGAGTTGTGCATGTGTCAGTTAAACTTTTTTAATGTGCTGGATACTTTAATAATCATTTCTAGATACTTTAGTAATTGCTTCTAGATACTCTGGTAATCCCTTCTAGATATTCTGGTAATCACTTCTTGATATTCTGGTAATCACTTCTAGATACTCTGGTAATCACTTCTAGATACTCTGGTAATCACTTCTAGATACTCTGGTAATCACTTCTAGATACTCTGGTAATCACTTCTAGATACTCTGGTAATCACTTCTTGATACTCTGGTAATCACTTCTTGATACTCTGGTAATCCCTTCTAGATACTATGGTAATCACTTCTAGATACTCTGATAATTACTTGATGTGTGTAAATGAATACAGCAGTAGCTGTTACTTGTAGGGAAGTAACTGTGTTGATTGGTATCATTATGGAACATGGAAATGAGTTATGTCCTTTCTAAAATCGATGAACTTTCAACTACAGCTTATATGACTTTATACATATTTATTTGTCAATCTCAACTTGCTTTCAGGAACAATGATAATAAGGGGGAGAGACTGCAATCAGCTTAGGTAGAAGTAAATGAGTCCAAAAAAATTATGGGAAACATGTGATGTTGTGTTGTGTCCTTTTTTTCAGGTTTATCCCAAATTTGTTTGACTTATTTCCATGTGAAGACAACTTGGCATTGTAACTTAAGGAAATGCTGAATAAGCTAAAAAGTTGTTTTTTTTGGGGGGGGGGGGTTAAAATTTTAATCATCTTAAAACCCAATTTTAACAGCTGATTAGGTTTGCCCAAGAAATGATCCTAAATTTTAAGCTAGTCAAAAAATAGATTAACATTAGCTGCATACAACATGTAACATTTATTAATTATTTATTGACAGTTAAATCTCTCTCTTCTAGTTTTGTGCCAGTTTATAATACCACAACCCATCCCTCGAGTTGCACCTTTTTAGATTTGACACTTTCTGCAGCGGTCCTAAGGGTGTGCCATGTTCGTTGAAGGTGTGAGGCATCTGTTTCTGGCTTCTTGGATGAATGTTTCCTACAAACCTGCATTGAAAATAGCAGAGTTTTTCGTAAGCAATCAGACCAACTACTTTTTAAACATGCATTTAACACCAAAAAAGGGAAATTACTTTTCTGAGTGACTATTTCAAAAAGCACCTACCTCTAAATCAAGATCTGCAGCACTTTCTCCTGTTGTTAGAGGAAGCACAGCAATTTTATTGATTCTATATATGTTGTACTGATCGGCCAACTGACACACTAGACTTTGTTGTTTAATCAGGAGCAGCCTCCATTCAGAATCTGTGGAAATTAATGAGACACAATTTGTGTAAATAAAACAATGTATGTTAGCTTTAATTATGATCAGACAAAATAAAATTCTAAAGTTTCTGCACATGCAGTCATCAGTACAACAACAAAATATTGATATTATTATTTAAAAAATGTACATAATAAATGTATATCCTACCTATACTTTAAAAGGAAAGAATAATAATGGGCAAAATAATGAAAACAAACATCAGAAGTATGGAAAGAAAGTGGGTGGAAGTAAAATATAAAAACCAAAGAGTAAAGAGACAAAAAGTAAAACTGTAAAATTGGAGTCAGTCAAAACACCTTGTTTAGAGTCAGTCAACACACCCTGTATGGAGTCAGTCAACACAGCCTGTATGCAGTTGGTCAACACAGCCTGTATGGAGTCGGTCAACACATCCTGTATGGAGTCAGTCAACACAGCCTGTATGGAGCCAGTCAACACACCCTGTATGGAGTCGGTCAACACACCCTGCATGGAGTCGGTCAACACACCCTGCATGGAGTCGGTCAACACACCCTGTATAGAGTCAGTCAACACACCCTGCATGGAGTCGGTCAACACACCCTGCATGGAGTCGGTCAACACAGCCTGTATGGAGAGGAGACAGTCAACACACCCTGTATGGAGTCAGTCAACACACCCTGCATGGAGTCAGTCAACACACCCTGCATGGAGTCGGTCAACACACCCTGTATAGAGTCAGTCAACACACCCTGCATGGAGTCGGTCAACACACCCTGCATGGAGTCGGTCAACACAGCCTGTATGGAGTCGGTCAACACAGCCTTATGAATTTGGTCAACACAGCCTGTATGGAGCCAGTCAACACACCCTGTATGGAGTCGGTCAACACACCCTGTATGGAGTCGGTCAACACACCCTGCATGGAGTCGGTCAACACACCCTGTATGGAGTCGGTCAACACAGCCTTATGAATTTGGTCAACACAGCCTGTATGGAGTCACTCAACACACCCTGTATGAAGTCGGTCAACACACCCTGTATGCAGTAGGTCAACACAGCCTGTATGGAGTCGGTCAACACACCCCGGTATGGAGCCGGTCAACACACCCTGTATGGAGTCGGTCAACACACCCGGTATGGAGTCGGTCAACCCACCCTGCATGGAGTCGGTCAACACCCCCTGTATGGAGTCGGTCAACACAGCCTTATGAGTTTGGTCAACACAGCCTGTATGGAGTCACTCAACACACCCTGTATGAAGTCGGTCAACACACCCTGTATGCAGTAGGTCAACACAGCCTGTATGGAGTCGGTCAACACACCCCTGTATGGAGTCGGTCAACACACCCTGTATGGAGTCGGTCAACACACCCTGTATGGAGTCGGTCAACACAGCCTGTATGGAGTCAGTCAACACAGCTTGTATGGAGTCAGTCAACACAGCCTGTATGGAGTCGGTCAACACAGCCTGTATGGAGTCAGTCAAAACACCTTGTTTAGAGTCAGTCAACACACCCTGTATGGAGTCAGTCAACACACCCTGTATGCAGTTGGTCAACACACCCTGTATGGAGTCGGTCAACACACCCTGAATGGAGTCAGTCAACACACCAAAGCTTTTTTATTAATAGGAAAAAGAAACTCTTGGTGTCTTATGACTTAGTACAGAGGTGTCATTAGGGTTGGTGTCACCTGGTGCAGTCAACTCATGGTGTCCCCCACCGTCCAGATCCCCCACCCCCAAACCTGCACAGAGTAATTGCTAACCAGATCATAAAGAATCGCTCATAGAATTGTTTTTAATAAAGTAACAAAATATAGAGAAAACATCTTACAAAAGATAGAGGAAACATCTTACAAAAGATAATGGAAACATCTTACAAAAGATAATGGAAACATCTTACAATTTGATGAAACAGCTTAGATAGAGGAAACATCTTGAAATTTGATCAAAAAGCTTTTATTGAAACATTTAAACTTTTCAGATAAAACTTTACTCTTCCATCATTTATGGAAGCAAACCTGTCAATCACTTCATCACAACCAATGGACAGAATCGTAAGAACAAAAAGCCTGGATTGTTATAGTAGATCACAGATAGTTTGTTTGTTTTTTTAAATAAGTTTCGGTTTAGAAATGCTCCTCTCACATGAAGACAGTCACGAAGCCACAGACTCAAAGACCATCATAAATAATTTAGGTGTCGGAGGATTGGGCAAGATTATGGGAATTCCCATTCAGCCATGAATTTCAAAACTTAAAATAATGACCAATCTTTGGCTTCGTCAATATTAATATCTGCTGGTTTCAGGTGCCTTCCCAGCTTTGGTATTAAATTAAAAGTTCACTTTTAGATAACTCATCATAGAAATTGGCAGTTTGGGAATGGACACAGTAACTCTTCTGACAGCTAAAGCAGACTCTTATCTAGAAGAAATTCAAAACTGTTGCTTAGCTGGGGTTAGTGGCTTAGCTGGGGTTAGTGTCACGCAGAGCAGGCAAAGATTTGTTTCCAACAGTTCCATGCAGGACTCCAAGAAAAAAAAGCAATTTACCAGAAATGACATCTGTTAGTAGTACACTATTTTCCCGTGCTTGAACTTTGCTTGACCCAAATTAGATCCCTAGCAGACGTTAGCGTTTGTTGTGGGCATGGCCTATTCGTTTGATGTATGATGTATCTTGCTTACTACCGCCTTTCCAATTAAATATGGTTAGACTGCCTCCTAGTATTTTGTAGAATGTTTGCGATTGTTCTAGAAATGAAAACAAATGCTGAGTAGCTTCTGGAAGGCAGGGCTTACGAGTCGGTAGACCCACATACATAAAGGGATTGACAGGCACATTGAGAGGAGGGATTCAGATAGATTGATAGATATTTTTATTAACTTCACGAGACATGTATTATTCTTTGTGTACTTATGTGTTTATTCGCATTCATCATTATTAATTGGCACATTGTAATAAGTGTGTACAGGTACCAGATTTTCAGATACTCTGTAAGTTGATGATTTGTAATAATATTTCTTTTATTTCATAATTGTATTATTACTAAATTAAATCTTATTTATTGTAATTGGCAACTGTTTTGGGTGTCGTAATTTTGTTAATGTGTTTGTCTATGGTATCGTCCTTTGTTAGGCACTGTTTGATCAAGCCATAACTTAAAACAAGAGATTAATTTCTCACAAGAGAAGGCAGTGCTTAACACCATCTCTCCATATAAATAAAAAATGCAGACAAGGTCAACGACCTTTCTACGCCTCTGCTTTAAACATATCGGCTACCTCCTTGAAGGCTATTGATCTGATTTGGAGTTCAGAATGACAATCGATAAATAAGCCCTCATGGCTGTTGTTGTTGTTTTGTTTACAAATTGAGTCCAGTGTCTCTTGATCGCTCTACTGCCAAACTCTTCACCTCCATCAGACTACCCCATGAACCTTCTCTGAGTCTCTCTGCTCATGTGGCACCCTGTTCTGGTGGTTACCTGCGGCAACCTGTTTTGGTGACATCCTGCTCTGGTGGCACCCTGTGCTTGTATTTAACTCAGATCTGTGATGAAATAGATTCAAGCGAACCCTGTCAATTATGAAACATTTCCGTATGTTGTTAGCCCCATGTGAGGGTGTAACCTGGTGCGGCCTTATTAAGATGCTCTTGATTTAATTAACCCAGACTCAAAACTATGTTAAAACGACTTATAAAACATGAATCCATATCATGGAAGCCTGTATTGTGAATCAAATCTGTCAATCTGTTCACTAAGCACCTATTTTAATCAAATGTCATAAACAAGGATGAGACATGAGATTAGCGACCTTGAGCCTTTAAATATTTTTTATTTTTCATATTTTTTCTATAGTTAATACAGCATAACTGATTCGCAGTGTGAACAGCTTTGTTGGCTCTGTCACTCATCTTGATGCAGAGATCCATGCTGACAGACTGCTGCCATGATTATATGCAACAGATCACCTCACTTCCTTAATGGCAATCAGTGGCGTAGCTAGGGGAATGACACCATCTCAGGAACACCAAGTTGAAAAAGTGCTTATTTACAGAGCACTCGCTGCTTAGTCTAACCGAATTTCATAAAATAAAAGGATTCAATGCCAAATGAGGTGCTCGGTAACTATCGTAAGTGACAGGAAGTTATATTTATCTTAATTCTGAGAAATAGAGCTTTCCACTGATACCAAATACGAAGTGGTTGGGCGATTCTAAGTACATGTATCTAATCTGTAAAAATAACTGACATAAAAAATTACTTTTTCTCCATTTATAGGGTAGGCTAAACAAAATAATATTTGACAAAACTTTCAATCTTTTAATAATTAATTTAATTTAATTTAATTTTAAAAAGAAATGGTTTTTGAAAACAAATATATTGAAACCCAGAAAAACTCTAAATTAATATTTTAGCTAATTTGTCACTAGCACGCCCCTTAACATCTGAGCACAATTGACAGGTTTGCAGCTTTGAAGACCAGGGAAGGAAAATTTTAAATAAAGTAAATTTAATGTAAAAATAAGTATAACTTAACATTATTACAGTTCTTAAACACATTTACCTCCTGACCTTCAATTAATTTTTTTTTGTTCTTGTCATTTTTTTGTTGCTGTAGACTTATTTTAATAAAAACAATTCCGTAGCGGAATTCTTTTTCGGGCGAGCTTGCGTGTCTCGGCTGTGCTTATCCTACTGGCTTCATGAGAATTAGCCCCTTTCTTGACAGCTACACTCCAAATGGCTCTGTCCTGGGCTGTCTGCACCCATTTAGTAGGGTTGATACTGAAAGCCTTTAGTGCTACGACACTGATGACAGTATTGAGTGCTTACTTGATTTTGTAAACAGCTGGGAAAGCACATGTATGCATAATGACACGCTGGGGAACAAATAGTTTCCTCATTTTCCTGACCTTACTTTGTGGGAAAGAATTCACCCTGACCAAGCAGAACTTAAATAACTGATGTAGTGGGTGCTATGTTGCCTCAAACAATTTTTTTACTTTTAAAAAATTACTTTGCTTTAAATAATTCTTCAAACAACTGTTGCTTTGCTTGTGTGATTGCACTCGCTACCTTACAATTGTTTTTGATGAGAAACTATGAATTCCCACAACAGCAGGTTTTACTGAAGTTCAATAGACTTCTGTCTGTTAACAATGCCCCTAGAAATATTAATACACATCGGGTTGCTTGGATGTGAATAACAAGGAGAATTCAATCAGCAAGAGATGTGAATGTCATGAAGAGTTCAGACATAGCAAGAGTTTGAAACCAAACTAAATTTATTCCCTTGAATGAATGTCCTACCCTGTTTGAAATTGAATGTCCTTCCAATTCGGATATTGAATGTCCTATGCTGTCTGACATTGAATGTCTAACCCTGTCTCACAATGAATGTCCTTTCCTGTCTAATACTGAATGTCCTACCCAGGCATACATTGAATGTCCTACCCTGTCTGATATGGAAGGTCCTACCCTGTCTGAAATTAAACTTTCTAACCTGTCTGACATTGAATGTCCTATCCTGTGTGATACTAAATGTTGTACCCTGTCTGACACTGAATGTCCTACCCTGGCTGACAATGAATGTCCTACCTTGTATGACAATGAATGTTCTACCCTGTCTAGCACTGAATTTCTAACCCTATCTGACAATGAATGTCCTTTCCTGTCTGATACTGAAGGTCCGACCATGTCTGATTTAGAATGCCCTACCCTGTCTGATATAGAAGGTCCTACCCTGTCTGAAATTAAACTCCTAACCTGTCTGACATTGAATGTCCTACCCTGTCTGACATTGCATGTCCTATTCAGTCTGACACTGAATGTTGTACCCTGTCTGACACTGAATGTCCTACCCTGGCTGACACTAAAAGTCCTAATCTGTTACTCTATCTGAAACTGAATGTCCTACCCTGTCTGACAACTAATTTCCTACCCTGTCTGCAATTGAATGTCCTACTGTCTGACATTGAATGTCCTACCCTGTCTGACAATGAATTTTCTACACTGTCTGACATTGAATGTCCTACCCTGTCTGACAATGAATTTTCTACCCTGTCTGACATTGAATGTCTTACTCTGTCTGACATTGAATGTCCTACCCTGTCTGACATTTAATGTCCAACCCTATCTGATACTGAATGTCCTACTCTGTCTGACAATGAATGTCCTACCCTGTCTGACAATGAATTTTCTACCCTGTCTGACATTGAATGTCCTACTCTGTCTGACATTGAATGTCCTATCCTGTCTGACATTTAATGTCCAACCCTACCTCATACTGAATGTCCTACTCTGTCTGACACTGAATGTCCTACGATGTCTGACAATGAATGTCTTACCCTGTCTGCAATTGAATGTCCTACCCTGTCTGACATAGAATGTTCTACCCTGTCTGAAATTGAATGTCCTTCTCTGTCTGACACTGAATGTCCTACCCTGTCTGACACTGAATGTCATACCCTGCCTGACATTGAATGTCATACCCTGCCTGACATTTAATATCTCGCAATGAACATCCATTCATGCTTGTTCAATGAATGATAGCTCTTTCCCAACTGAGAATAACTGTCCTAACCAGCATGTGTTTGACTGTCCTACCTATCCCTGTGAATAGCCACCCTTCTCCATCAGACAACATAAAAAAGCTTACCAGGGTGTAGCTTGAGTTTCCCTATGATGCCGTACACATGACCGACACATACAGGTCCCCACTCACTGCCCTCGACATCATAGCCTAGAAGGATTGCACCAAGAATACAGGATATTATTACAACTTACAGTCAAACCCACTTAACTCAACCTCGGTTAACTTGCCAACCCTGTTATGTCGACGTATTTGTAGTGGAACCACCCAATTCTCTCTTTGTCTTCGCAAATTCTCCTCGGTTATGTAAATTCTTTTATGTCGCCGAACCCTGATATCTCGATGTCCACGACAAATCACTGACTTTTGAAAATTATATACCACAGAAACGTGCCTACTTCAAACTGTAGTAATTGAAATGAAATGACAATATTGTCTGCGCAATTAACTTGACACAGCAAGAAGCAAGAGGCTTGTAAACAAAAGAGAGGGGTCGCAGTGACTGTTCTATTTATAGCAATCCCGCTTGTCGCTTAATACCTAATAGGCTTTCACGCCTTCTTACAGGTCGATTTTTTTTTTAACCTAGAAGCCGTATTTAAATATACTGAATTGCAGAATCTGGAGCGAGAGAAAATAAAAACTCATGAGTCTGAAGCTGAAAAATATTTAGCCTCACGAATCCGGAATTCCATGATAATCCCGAAAAGTGACACCCCACATATGCCTTGTGTTGTTAGCAAACATGTGTGTACATTTTTATAGCATGCCGATCACTTCATCAAACAAATCGCGGTAACGCTGTTGCGTGAAAAAAAAAAATCCAAAAACACATGCATGTACATCTGATTTATAAATGCACATCATGTACGTAAAGAAATTTTAAGCACATGTTAATATATTGCCGCCATATTGGGTTTCGTTTATCTCGCTCATTAGTTATCTCTATGCTTTTAGACAAACCCCAAGGCTGTCGACATAACCGGGTTTGACTGTATTCATTTCACAATAAGCATTTAAAATTCCAGAATGATTATGAAATAAAAAGAATAAAAGTTAGTTGGCCAATGGCATCCCTTAAACACTTTGACCATGGGGATTATGGAAGTTGCAACTAATGTTATTTTCAAAAAAAAATTATTTAAATAAATATCAAGTGAATATCAAATATTCACACCAAAGGGAGCTTTAAAACGACCTACAATAAAACAAGTGTGTCAGTGGATAAAAGAGTCATAGTCTAGAGTGAGAGAAGACATTATTGTTACATCTTTCAAGAAGTGTGTCATAAATAACGCTCTCGATGGCAGTGAGGACCATCTTATATATGAAGAGAACAACCATGATGACAAAGAGGAAGAAGAAAAAAAAGTCAGATGGCAATTTTCAGGGATTTTAAAGGTCAGTTCAGTTTTATAAACTAAGAATTTTTTTTAGTCTGGCTTTGCAATCTAATAATAAAAATGGTAAAAAAAAAAATGTTTTAATTATTTAAAAATTAAGGTGCGTCTTATAGTCAGTAGCGTCTTATAGGCTGTAAAATACGGTAAGCTAAAACTATGGTGATAAATATGCAACGTTATAAAAATAAGTCATTATTTGTGCTTTTTATTTTAATTTACAGATAGTTTTCAAGAGCAATCTTTATATAATCTGCTCTAAGAGAATTTCTAATTTTAAAAAAAAGAAGAAACATAACAATACTTTTGAATATTTAAAAATATTTTAAATTTTTTATTCAAATTTATGATTTTCTCAGTCCAGTGTTAACTGCAGCACATGAACTCATGGTTTTAGGGCTCACATTAGGCACTAGATCAAAGACTTTAGGTTTGTAGATTTACACGGGGGGGGGGGGGGCGGGGTGGTGGGGGCACTAAATTTTCATGCTTGAGTTAGGGATACTAACTTATTATTCATGTTAGGTAAAGTTGTAGATTTTAAGATTGAAGGTTTTTCTCAAAAGATTATTTCAATAAATTTTAACATCATTTTTCTAATTTTCGTTTCGAAGTAAGTAGTTAAAACAACGCATTCTCTTCCTTCCCCCTCCCATTTAAGCAGAATTTCCCCTTCCCATTTAAGCAGATGTGTTTTTGCACTACTTTTTTTTTACATAGCCACCACCTTTGTTGCAGTGACACGCCTGCCATCATGGCAACAAAGATGGTGGCCATAGGAAAAAAGTAGTACCAAAACATGGGGAAATGAGTGGCGTGGAATGCGTAAATTTACCATACTTTATTATCTACTTAGATGGTTACATTAAATTAAACGAAAAAAATTTTGGATTATCAAATCTAAAGACAGTTATCAAACTAGTAAGAACAGAACCTTTTAATATGGTGTTTCACAAGGTAAAAAAATTGGTGATATTAATAATATTAACAGACAGAATACAACATTCAATGTTTGGCAATGCAAAGCTACAGTTATGGGTTTAACTAGGCTATTCTTTAACATAATGTGGTTAATTGGATTTTATGGGCTTGTCAATTGTGTGATTGTCTCAGTATCTATTTTAGCAAAATAAAGAAAAATAAATTGGCCAAAATAGCATGACCTGTATAATGGATGGTCTCTTTTGCCTTGATCCAAATTGTAATACTCTAGAATTAAGGTTGATTTCAGTGTAGACAATTTTTATAAATAAAGTAATGATGCTTTTATTTTTTTAGATACCAGCATAATATAGGAATAGGAGTATTTTAAATGAACTTGGACCTTAGCACAGCCCTGCTCTGAGTAAATAAAATGGTTAAGTTAATTAAATTATTCATAAACTACTAGTAGTAGTAGCATTATAAACTCTCTATGTATATTTTATTTAAATTGGAGGAGGCCTCTATTTCAAATATAATAAATTATAACGATTTTCAGATATTCCCAAACAATATCTAAGTCCCAACGACACTGATACTCATGGGAATAAAGCCTACTGTCTAATTCTAATTAATCCTAAATGAGTGTTACTACTGTTACTTTTAGATCTATAAATATTAAATATATTGCAAATTATGTAAATAAATAAAGCCCTGTATAAAGTGTATAAAGGAAAGGTGTAAATGTCAAATTCATTTGAATTCAATTCAATCAATATGAATATGGCCCTGATTGACTGAATTCTTGCCTTAATTAAATCTCCTACTAAAAAAGTATAGGCCTTGGTCTATTCATTCTTAATTTATTATGACTATACTATATACCTTTAAAAAAAAGTCAAATCAAATTGAACTTAAACTAAATAAAAGACAAAAAAAGGGTAAAAGTTAACTGTCGGGTCTGTCGTCTGCTCACCACTCACTCAGTCACTGACGCTGTCTCACGGTTTGGATTGGGCCTACAAAAAATGTTTACCTATTCTAGGCTCTAATTTTCCATTTGATCTGTTACACCATAAGCTGAAGTCACCATCCAAAATTATATAATGCAAATCCGTTTGGAATAATTCCATTTTGCTAGGAATGTCATCTGTAAATTTTATCTGTAGTTGATGTCAACAAATCTCCCGCAACCAAAATAAGGAAGTACATAGGCCATTCGACCCATTTGAGAGATTGAGTTTTAGTTTTAGCAGTTTAAAATTTATGCTATGCAGTAATATTATTTCGGCCTAAGCTTTATAATTTTTATTGGAATAGACAAAAATTGTTTTATTTGAGTTAGGAAATTCAGGAAAGTAATTAAGAAAACGAAATCGCAATAAGTAATTTTTTTCAGGGATGCAAAATTAAATTGAAATTTATTTCATTAAAATAAATAATTACTCCCTACAACCACTATGTTTCAAAATGGCGGACACCATGGAAGAGTACAAAAAGATGAAAGTGAGACACTCAAATATATCACATTCACAGCTTAATATTTAATTTAATTATCAATATCACTAATTTAATTGGCTATTTAAGAAACTTTATGTCATAACCACATTAAAATTAATGGTCTCATATTTCCGGTCTAGTCGGTAACTCTCAGCTGAGATTTTGATTTTTTAGGCAGGAGGCACATTGCAAATCATGAAATCGTTAAAATTGTAGTTAGTGGCAGAGGTTTTGCCGAGAGATATCGCCCTAAATGCATTGACATCATTTTGGGGAATCCCAACACTGGACTTCAGGTGACAGGATCAACAGTTTGACCTGAAGGATGTGTGTGAACCTTTCCTGTTCTTCACAATGAATGAGCATTGGCATTAGGCCTATGCGATGCCTATTATTATTTCTGTCAATCATAAACTTGATAAACTGTCATAAGCTTAGCGCTAGTTGCCATGAAAAATACTTGCTAACTATCCTCGCATTACTATAAATATGACCAAAAATACATTTTGTGTTTACATTCTAACTGTCCCATGTGCTTTTTTTATTAACTTCCTGTCAATAAATTAAAATCTCAAGCTGAATCACTATGAAACATACTATGACGTTCACAGTGACTTATAGTAGTTAACCAGTTAAAATTAACATTTCCATTTTTTTCTTTATTAAAATTAAACTTACTAGGTTCAAAACAAATTTTTAAATAAACTCATCCTTGCTGACCCCAGATAAACACCGGAGAAAAGATGCGCACATTGTTAAAAGTGTTGTCTTTTGATTGGTTAGAATTTAGCCGTAGGCTATTCGTTTCTTTCAGTTGTAATTTCATGGCACATTTCAGCATAATTTTCTGGAGAGGGGAGACCTCTCCCCACTTTCAACACAACGATAAAAAAAAAATTAAATACTGGGTAATTTATGGGGAGGTAAGTCCCCCCCCCCAAGTGCCGCCGCCCACCCCCTCCCCCTCCTTTTTTTTTTCAAACAATTGTTTTAATGAGAAAAAAGACTTATATCACTTAAATACATTAATACAGAGCTAAAAATTGAAAACTATGGTTGGTAGTTAACCAGGGGAAACTCCATGATCTATACCAGTGGTTCTTAACATTTTTGGAGGTACAGAACCCCACCAGTTTCATATGAGCATTCACCGAACCCTTCTTAATAGGAAAAATAAAATATGATTTTTTTTTCTGATTTTTTTTTTTTTTGGACCTCCGCCGAACCCCTGAGACTGACTCACCGAACCCTGGGGTTCGATCGAACCCGGGTTAAGAACCACTTATCTTTACACTGTGGAAGACATCGCAGGGCCTGCTGCTAATTGCATTTTAGCAGAAATGGTCTGTCTGTTAGCATTGTAAATTTAATACGCCTACAAATGAAAAAGCATATTTTATTAGGACAATGATAGGGTAGGGGAAAGTGCTGTAAGCATAATAGAATATGTGTTGGGTAGAACATAATGCATCCTTCCTCACATACAATTTGGCATGAACGCAGCAACTTTGTTTCCCTAAGACCAGCTGACAACCTGATATTTTGATATTTTTTTAGATAAGTTGTTCAGGTGACAGTTCCCATGTTTTTTGCAAAAGGCTGTTACTGCTTATAGGAAGTGTCAAATTATTGTGCATGACAAAATAAATCTTGGGAAGCCCAAGTATTCATGAGGCTCATTTTGCCCACAAAGTCACTTTGATATTATTAAATTGTTATTTGTTTTTTTGGTTAAGAAGTAACTGATTTCCATATAGCTATATGTATAAGTTATTCAAATAATGTCTTCTGTACCTACAAAAAGAACCATTTAAAAGATGTACTAGAAAAATATTTAAATTCGCTGCCATCTTTTGTCATTTACGGTGGCTTTTGTTGTCTCAAGAGGGAGCTCTTCCATCATTGGGGTGGATTATATGGTAGGGAGATTTGATGCCACGTTGAACTCTCTTATTTACACATTAGCTATATTTTTACTTTGGCTAAAAGATAGCAGTAGGTTTTTTAACACTAGCTCTTAATGTGTAAAACAATTAAGTTTAATCATTTGAGGGAACTATTTACTTTGTGATGAACGTAGCGATTTTATTTCATCCCACAAAAAAATGGCAAGAAGTTTCATTGAGCTCCATTCCACTTCTTTCCTCATACATTTGGAAAAACCATAAAAATTGTTTAAAATATACAAAAATATTTTTAATCCATATTAATCAAACTTACACTTTTCATTAGTTTCAATAAAATATACTTTTACACACATTATTACTGGTTCCACCAAAAATAATATCCAAAAGAGGTCAGTAAAGTCAAAATCCATTTGCAAAAAGTATATACTGTATAATCCAAATGGACCAAACCTGCAACATCAGGATGAAAGCAATAATCTGTTAATTTAAATCAAAGTCCTTATGAAAGTTCACTTTAAACACCAAATATTATAAAGAACTTAGGCATAAATCAAATATGCCCAATGACAAGCTAAACATAAATAGGCCTGTATAATTTTTGATTTCAATTAAGCTACTGGTAAATCATTAGTTCCAAAAAAAATTCAAAATGCAAACATAAGCACTTCAGAACAAAGCAAAAATCATAAGACAGACGCCCCTATGACTACATTTAACTCGGCTGTAAAGTTATATTTAATTACCCTTGCCAATAAGTATATGTGGCAAATCTATGGACCTAAAAGATTTATTTAGTTTTGGCATCAGTCAATCTCTTAGAGACAATCATGTAATTTCACTAGAAGTGAAATTCCAATTGAGATTTCTGTCAAAAGTACTCAAACCTGGGGAACGATTTCTATTTGGAGAATAAAATTGTTTCCAGTCAGCAGATCCCCATTCTCTATGCAGCTAGTGAACCCGAGGGAATAATTAATGGTTGATACGGCTTTGCAGGAGTTTTCACTGATCCACCAATCGATTTCCATCTTCGAACTTAAAAGTAAAGCTTTGTTAACAGGGGCATCCAATTTTACACACTAAAAGCAATGTTTATCCCTACCGGGTACTGTAAAGGTAGGGAAATGCAACAAAATATGTCTGCAGTTTTAGTTAAATTAGCACAAGCAATAGTAGTTTTTATAACTTTAATAGTGTAAAAACAAATTGAATTCTCAGTTTTTGGCTAGTGAATGAAAAGATGTTAAATAAAATGATACTTTTACATAATAGTGTTCCCAAAAAATACCACACTTTGAAACAGCTAAATATCAATCTTTGTTTCCAAAATATTATGGATTCAACTAGAATATGACTTAGGTTTCATCTATTTTATTAATTTGTGGAAAATCAATATTCAGCTTAAGCACTGTTCGATCAGTATCTGCCTACAGAAAATGCATTTTAAAAGTTATAAGTAAATGTAGATTGTTTTGAAATAAAATATTTTTATAATTTTTATTTCATTTTTACCAAATTAGATCATCTTTAAACTTAATGTGCTTTTTAATAGATTGACCCTATTATGGTCCTTACATTGATAGCAGCAGAGACAAATTACCCAGTCTAGGTTCTAAATTCAAATGTTTGGAAATCAGAGGCTTTATCATTTCATTAAAATATAAAATAACATGACGCAGTGCATTCCAACAATCCTAGTCCATGTAGCATTAAATGATGTTATACTTTCAAGGCGGAACTAAAAGAAAGATTTTAAAATGATTCCAGGTGCCAGAACTCAAACAAGTTTTAAAAGAACGAGGGCTTTCTGTCACTGGAAATAAGTCAGAATTGTTAAAACGACTTGGAGAAGCTCTTGGCACAGGTATTTGGTTTAATAGCTGAGTGATATTTTAATAACAAATATACCATTATTCTTAAACTTAAATTAATGTGCCTAATTTTTCTACATCAAAAGAAATAATTACCTGCAATAATTATTTGTTAACTCCTTTTATTATTTATAATTAAGAATGAAAACAAAATAACTTACTTGATAATGAAGATGCTAATTGTGATTTTTTTTTTTTTTAGCAGAGGGTCAAGATGGCGGTGTGGAAGACAGCATACACAGCATAGATGATATTGTGAGTTTAAAATAATATATAATCTATAATTTCAAATTAAGATTTAGATTTTAGTGAACATTGGGCATATCCTTATAATTGTGTTGCAAAGTATTGCCAATTAAATTCTAAGATTGTCATCACGAGCAAGACCCTACATTGATATATTTCAAAAAGTCCCTTAAAACCCATCTGTTTAGGTCAGCCTATGACCTGTGATGCACCCTCCTTGCCCTGCCTCATTTTCTGTCTCGGGTTGATCCTGTAGTATAGGCCAAAACGTGCCAAAGTGTCCTCGTTTTTTAGCCATCTTAATTATTTCTATAGTATAGTAGTTACTATCCTAGTGTCTCATTTTTATTTTACTTAGTTTACATGTTTTTAATAATTGTAAAGCGCTTAGAGCTTTAAGGTAAGCGCTATATAAAAATGCCTAAATAAATAAATATACTGTTTTTCTATTTCTAATAACAATAGATGTCAATTTTGTCAGTCATGTTTATTTATGGAATATAGCTTTTCTTGGTAATTTTTTCAACCCCAGTATTCCAAGAAATTAAATTGATTGACCATTTCCGATGTTTCCTGGAAAAATTTTTATTGTAATAAAACTTGACATGGTTATCAAATCACAAGATGGCAAAGAAGAAATTTCATTCTCTATGTTCCTACCTATATTAGAGTCGATTGATATACATACCATGAATAGATATAAGATTTGTCAGGGCAAAAGGCAATTAAAATTTAATTTATTTTAAAAAAATATATGTGACTTTCATTTCATAATGCAACATTGTAATACAAAACATTCATGTTAGATTTAAAAAGTAGTTAACTGATAAAACAAATGACTAGTTTTCACACAAACTCTCATGGACCAACACTTTATTGGCATGGGAAGTACCGGTATTCTTTTTTGATATATCATGTGCAAAATACTGATTTTTAGGAGGACGAAAAAGGGATTACGGCATAGGGAAAAAGGAAATGTGAGGGTTAAATAATTCTGAAATTTTTAAAATCAAAGCTAAATTTTCATGTCACTAATAAATTATATATTTATAATTGATGTTAAGTTTTTTTAGAAAATTAATTTTAGGGAATTGAATGATTCCAGCAAAGAATAAAGTAACAAAAAATGATTTTTTTTACATTTGTTATAATGAATTAATAGTTTATTGTATTTATCTTCTAGTTAAATGATGACACTGACCAGTAAAATGACTGCAATTATCTTCTAGTTAAATGATGACACTGAGACACTTACAATGATTGCAATTATCTTCTAGTTAAATGATGATACTGAGACACTAACAATGATTGCAATTATCTTCTAGTTAAATGATGACACTGAGACACTAACAATGATTGCAATTATCTTCTAGTTAAATGATGACACTGAGACACTAACAATGGTTGCAATTATTTTCTAGTTAAATGATGACACTGACCAGTAAAATGATTGCAATTATCTTCTAGTTAAATGATGACACTGAGCCCCTAACAAGCAACAAAGTTGAGAATAAAACAGAAGTTATTGTACCAACCAAAAGCACGACAGTCCCAATAACAGTGAAGACAGACCCACTGGCATCCAATGGGGTTAAAGAGGAGTAGGTCACATTTGTTTTTGTTTTTTTCATTAAAGCCATACATAATAATTGAAATTTTCTCCTGAAATCTAGGTGTATATTTCTGTTAATTACTCAGTTAGATTTTGTCATGTAAAAATTTAAACAGATGTTTTATTTTTATAATTGCAAATTCTTTTATTGAAGATTAATGAGAAATTTGTTTTAATGAGCAATTCAAAATAATAATTAATTTTTTTTAAATGTTTTCTGACAGTAAAGAAACAACCAAGCAAACTGCCCCCGACACAACAAAAGCAGCAAAGCCAACTGAAGTTGCCAAGCTGACAGATGAAGAGGTATTATCTCCTTATGATAACCCACTCCACTCTTTCACTCTGTGATGTACGCAGTCATTATGACTAGAAAATAAAATATAACATTTCTTATCCCTTGACAAATTTGGCTGATAGAGTAATATTGTAAGAGGAATTCCTCCTATTGTATTATTTTTTAATAAAATAATTGCTGGTTCACAGAGGCTGAAACTCAGAGCAGAAAAATTTGGTGTAGTATCAACTGAAGCCAAGAAAGAGTTAAGAGCTCAAAGGTATGTACATATTTTCAAGGAAATTCCAGGGGCATTTTATAATAATATAATTTATTTTAGCTCATCATAAAATATTTCACTGTTTATATTATTTTTACCGGTATTATTTTTTTGCAAAAAATAGATTTTCATATTTTCCCTCAAAAAGTGTATTTACTAAAAAAAAAGTAACTTTTTGGGACATATTTCAAGTTTCATTTTAAGAGGAACAATGTCCAAGTAAATCATTATAAAAGCTGATAAGATTAAATAGATCATATTACAAGTTCCATACTTTGATGGATAAAAGGCACAAAATACCTTTTTTAAATCAATGTTTATTCCATTTATGAAAATCTTGAAAAACAGAAGTTGACTTTTGGCAAATAACAGTGTATCACAATATGCCATTTGAAACCCACTGTCTTAAAGCATAGATTTTTATCTCCATTGTCTTAAAGCATACATTTGTATCTCCACTGTCTTAAAGCATAGATTTGTATCCCCACTGTCTTAAGGCATAGATTTGTATCTCTGTTGTCTTAAAGCATAGCTTTGTTTCTCCACTTTCTTAAAGCATAGATTTGTATCCCCTGTCCGAAAGCATACATTTGTATCTCCACTTTCTTAAAGCATAGATTTGTACAGTGGCCCATGGAACAGTGAATGGTTTACTTTACTTCTATAAACCCTGGATAGTTTGTGCTACAGTGGGTGAGAGTTTTAGGAGTGATATAGTTCTTTCTTTGGAACTCAGTTTAAAATAAAGCCTCCTGTATTATACTGCATCTACTAATTTAATGAGTATAACAATTTTAGGCTGCCAGTTAACAACTATGAAGGCTTATTCCATGTGACATGAGTTACCTAATAAGTATGGAGACGTCCCCGTGACGCTAAGGAGACTTTTGCCTGGAGATACAGTGCTAAATAATTATGGAGAGTTGGGGGGGGGGGGGTGTGTACAAGTTTCTAAATAATTATGGAGACTTGTGCCGGGGGTACAGTACTAAATAATTTTGGAGCCTTTTTCAAGGGGTATGTATAAGTTTCTAAATAAATATGATTTGATGGGATTCTGTTAAATAGCAGCTTAAATAATTATTTTGACTTGTAGGTTTGGTACAACACTAAATGACAACACAGTTACTAGAACAGAGACATCTAAAATCCCTGTAAGTAACCCCCTTTTTTATATATTATGCAGTTAAGTTTATTTTAAAGACTTTATAATGAATCCATCAGTGCAGAACATGTTTGTACTTTCACAAACCTTAATATTTAAGTGTTGACTTTAACTTGCCAATTTATGCATATAGCTGCAGTGTTAAATCATTTCAGGAATTAATTTATATTTTAAATTGCCTGAATTTTCATATTAATAAACTGGAAATTTGAGAAAATGGAAATAATCAGTAAAATAAATTGATGTATTTTATTATGCGATCAATTTCTTAAAATAAAGAGCCATCTTAAATTATAAACATTTTCTGTTATTATTTATTTACTTTTGCATTTTACCCGACCCGAGGCATATGCTGCTTCCGGGTGTATCCCATTTTTGTGTGTCTACTTCTACCTCGCATCTCCTTGTATTCATTTACCTTCTTCTCTTCCTTTTCTCCTGTGGATTTAATGTTAAAACATTGCTTGTATTGTAATGTGCCGGTATCTGCTTTTAGGCTGATGAGATTGAACGTCTCAAGAAAAGAGCAGACAGATTTGGAGCGATAGTTTCAACTTCTCTAACCAAAGTAAGTAACTAAATACACAGACACAGGGTTAAAGAAAATCATTTTTAAAAATTAAATGTTACTTTTTTACTTTAGCAAGATTCGACATAAACAATATGCTCCAAAACATACAGTACTGAAATAAAAAGACAAACAATATTACCGGTACTTGTTGTCATGTCTTCAGAAAAAAACTAAATATGCACTGTTAGCAAGTTGATTTACCATATTAATCGTATGTGAAATGTAGTGTTGGTAATGCAAGTCTAGGCCACCTTGCCATAGGCAGTTTACATATCGTGCAGATTCCTTAATACCCTTGCAAATGAAGATGAGTTGCTCGCTCAATGCAGGCACAGCTCTTGGGGGATCTTCCAAGTTGAACACCCCCTCCTTTGACATTGACCACAAGGAGGCAACAGATGGTGTAACATCTGTGGAATGGGTTGTGCATAGACAGTCTGTACCATGTACAATTATTTGTTCTGGAAAGTTTTTCTACAACATGGCTGTCACAGGATGACCATTGCCATCATGGTCAAATATGTAACAGGTCTCAGATCACGGGAAAGGGGGAGGGGGGGGGGGTCGAATTTGAATAGTGATTCCCTGAGGGTGTGGTCCAATGGAGACACTGGAAAGTTTTTCTACAACATGGCTGTCACAGGATGACCATTGCCATCATGGTCAAATATGTAACAGGTCTCAGATCACGGGAAAGGGGGAGGGGGGGGGGTCGAATTTGAATAGTGATTCCCTGAGGGTGTGGTCCAATGGAGACATGTATGGTTTAATTTTGACCCTCATGAATTTGCCTAGAGAGGGGACGTTTGTTATAGAAAGATGTCAGACATTAATTACAATCTATGGGTATGTCAGCGACTGGGAGCTGTTACATTGAGAGGCACTTGGGTATACAACCCAATCGAAATTCAGTTTTAGACCTATAGCATTTTACAAGTTGATGCCACGGAATTTCACATAGAGGTAAGTGTAAATATGGAGGATGAGTGGGTGAGAGTTGACTGACAGATATATTAGGTAGACTTATTTAGAAGTATCCTGGAAGAGCCACGGTGCTGTTGTTTGTCTTTTGCATGAGAATATGACCTAGGCTGTATATAAACAGGTGAGTAAGCAGGTGGCATGCCAAGATGACTATATAACAGGGTGAGTATGCAGGTGGCCTGCAAAGATGACCAAGGCAATAAACAGGGTGAGTACGCAGCTGGCCGGCAGTCCTATTTGTGCCTGGAAAGCTTTCTCCCACATGGATCCTAGTGGGATTTGAGTTGACTCTGCTTTTTCTTGGCGTGCGCTTTAATTTGTTGTGTCTGAAGCACTTCTTCTATCTTCCTCCTCCATTTCAGGTGAAAAATGGTGGTCTCAAATAGGGTAGCCTAGATACCTAGAGGTAATATGCCTGACATGCACTTTATTTTGATTAAAGAGAGGGAGAACTGCGCAATTCATCAACATCACACTCTCGTCCTTGCCTATTTTGATCACTTAAAATAAAAATATTTGAAGTTAAACACAAATCTTAATTAAACTTAAAATTAACAATATTTATAGGATGTGGATCTTGAAAGTTGAGGTTCGATATATGCAATTAACCAAGGAAACGATTTGTGCCTTTCGTCAGAGAACAACGCATTCCTAAAAAGCACTTGCTTGGAATTGTTATAAATATTTGTTCCTCCATTGATAACAACTGCCTAATATATCTTCCATTTCACTTTAGGGAATACGCGACATTTGATGCATAGTTGTCAAATGCACATATGTGTTCAAAATGCTGATGTTTCAGTACTGTATTTTTGGTCATGCTGTACTTGCTTAAATAATTATAACTTGAGATGAAATTATGTCACTGACCTTGAATCTTCCATAACAGAGATAGACCAGCTCAAATGAGATGATTTATATTTTTTTGTTTTACAGAATATCATGTCAGCAAAATATCGATAGTTTTATTTATTTAAATTAGGCAATTATTTCCTTTTATTTTTCCTTTTCTATTAATATAATGGAAGTTGGGTTGTTCAGTCACTAAGACACAGGACAAGTAACCTGATGGTCTTTGGTTTAAAACTCAGAAACACCTACCAGTCCTCCCCACACCTATATGTCTATATCAGTCCTCCCAACACCTACATGTCTATACCAGTCCTCCCCACACATACATGTCTCAACCAGTCCTCCCCACACATATATGTCTATACCAGTCCTCCCAACACCTACATGTCCATACCAGTCCTCCCAACACCTACATGTCTATACCAGTCCTCCCCACACATGCATGTCTATACCAGTCCTCCCCACATATACATGTCTATACCAGTCCTCCCCACACATATGTCTATACCAGTCCTTCCCACACATACATGTCTATACCAGTCCTCTCCACTCTTACATGTCTATACCAGTCCTCCCCACACATACATGTCACAAAATGTAATTTACCTAAGAAAAGTTTTTTAAAATTATGAAGTATTTCTTATAGTATTTGTGTATAGTGTATTGAGTCTCATCAAGCTCAGTCTTGAATATGACTGTGTATTATGTCATTTAGTGCAAGATTTATTACGTAGCATTCTTTACTTAAAAGTTAATTCATCCTATCTGACCAGGATATGTCTTAATAGCCATTTGCGCACCCACAGACAGAAACAGTCAATTAAATGGTCATGATCGATTCAGCGGACGGAGTACAATTTGCATTCCAGTGTCAATGTTCAGTATCTAAATGTAAGATTATATTTTAAGTCTATATTCATTACAGGTTGATGAAGAGGAAAGGAAAAGAAAAAGAGCAGAGAGATTTGGAGCATCCAACGTCACAGGGCATTCAGCAGCTAAAACCAGCAATTTAACTATTGTTTCTTCAGACCCGGAAGTAGAGGCAAGTATGCCGGCACAATAAATAAACTTAAGTAGACTGCAACAAGAATGCTAAAAACTTTACATTATGTATGCTTACAATGTGAAGCTTAATTATTTTTCCAGTGTTGACATCTTTTATCTTCTATTAATTTATTTATGTCATTTGCGTGCTTGTGGCTGTAAATGTCATTACTATACCATCATGCTTACTGTCTGAACAAAGGAATATTTGCTCTTTTTGTTTAGGCTAAGAAAAAGAAAAGAGCTGAACGGTTTGGCTTGGCAACATAATGATCTGCTTTGAAGCTCAGTTGTGGTTCTGTGTTCACCATTTGACCATTTCAACTCTACATCAACTAATGCCGTATCATTATTGATTTTAAATGTTATTTTCACTCCAGCATATATTTTAATTACGCTTGACTATAAATTTTGTTCTCTTGTTTGATGCTTTTAATTTCATAAATATACTTATAAGCTTTTAATGCAATTTTTAGGTCAGTGAAAAATTCATTGATGACTGGAGAATAAACAATTTTAGCACCAAAGTAAATTCTGTTTCGTTCATGTTTTTATAGTGTTAAAATTATTGATGGATCATTTAAAACAGTGGTTCTCAACCTTTCTAGTGCCGCGACCCCTTAATACTGTCTCTCGTGTTGTGGCGACCCCCAAGCCACACAATTTTCGTTAATACTTCATAGCTGTAAGGATACATGTTTTCAGATGGTCTTAGGCGACCCCTGGAAAGGGGTCGCGACCCACAGGTTGAGAACCGCTGATTTAAAAATATTAGATTAACGATGAAATGATTGTCTGGTTGATAGGTTAGCTGGAGTGAGTGTTTTACTATTTAAGGTGAGTAATCATTTTTAAAAACAGCTAATGATTAAAATAAAAGAATACTTTATCAAGAACAAAATGATTAGACATGAAATTGTTGACAATGTATATATCAGTATATAGTTTATTGTACACTGTTGGAATTAAACAAACTAAAATTCATATATGTACCTAAATGATCATTAACAATGATGAATAAGAAAACCTGATGAAGAAATGCATGTGTAAAGCCAATCTGATGAAAGATGCATGTGTAAAGCCAATGTGTATATGCTCTCATGAGAATTCTTCAGCTGAAAAAAATGCTGCAATTATATGTTGTCTATGATGTACAAATAATAGCAACCAGGAACTACAAAACCTCACTCCTAACTCTAATTAGTTGATACCCAGTCCTTCGAGAACAAAATCACATAAAATGTCATACAATTTAATTACTTGCATCAAAATCATGACATCAATGATGGTTATAGATGGGAGTGGTCACAGAGTTAAAAATAGACTACATTACAATTGTTCCAATACATGGAGACATTTCTTATTTCATAACCTAGTAGTCTGTTGGGTGTCTTGAAATTATGTCATGTCAATCATTTTAAAATTAACGTTATGCAAGCAAACAACTGTTCTTTCAAAATAGTATTAAAATGGAATCGGTCAGGAGAGACTTTGACATCAAATGCTTTGAATTTTGTTTTGAACAAATTTTGAAAAGATTTAGTCAGTCTGTTCTTGTTATATGAATCTATCAACAGAGGGAATTGGTTAAATCATGTAAACAATGCAATACAGATGTAGTAGATGAATTCCTATAGTTATTATATTTGACTGGTTTGTTAAATGCTTCATTGTTTCATGAGAATGGCTATGGCTGCCTTACAATGATACAGATCAAGTAGCTTAAAGCCTTAACAGAACATTGGGAATTATATGCTAATATTAATAGTGTTTTTTTTAAATTATAAGATGGTGTTTTTCTTTAAATATTCAAAAAGTAAAGTTAGTTTTGAACACAAAATCTTTTTTTTTTTAAATATTTAAAAAAAAAAAAACTAAATATAATAGGATTAAGATATTTTGTGACCAATCTTTCATTTCTAATAACATAACAATCTCTAATTAATAGTGTTTTTTTTAAATTATAAGATGGTGTTTTTCTTTAAATATTCAAAAAGTAAAATTAGTTTTGAACACAAAATCTTTTTTTTTTTAAATATTTAAAAAAAAAAAAAACTAAATATAATAGGATTAAGATATTTTGTGACCAATCTTTCATTTCTAATAACATAACAATCTCTTCTTTTTTTAATATAATGAAAAATGCTGGTGGAATTCTCTGTCATGGCCAAAGAGATATGACCACTTAAATTGACAGCAGTGTTTAAACCACAGACCTCAATTTAACAAAATGCAAGAAAACATTTGTTTTACATAATTTTGTCTGAGAAATGTTTTAAGTATAAAAGATAGATTTTGACAGCATTGAGCTGAATGTTGTGAAGGAGCCTTGAGAGAAGAACATGGAAATTACGTATTTCAAATTATTTTTGTGTGGATATATTGCAAGATTTGTGAATAATACAGTAAATGTTAATAAATGCCTTGAGATTTATTTTTAAGATATACAAGAAGTTAATTTAATTGCCAGTGTAATTACACACATTAATGGGGAAATAGTAAAACCATAGATGAACATAAATAAGCCATGGAACTTTTGTTATGCGCTTACATAAAATTACAGGGAATGAGTGGCTAAACAGTCAAATGTTTGTGCCTGCACTTAAAAAAACAACTGATAGCAGATGATAAATCTTAGTTACCTGAAAACCAGTTTAAAAATGTATTATATACCTCTTTAAGGATAATGTTAATTTTAATACAATATTGCTAATTCAAGCTATGGAATCAATCAAACAACAGTTGTCAAGAGAGCCTGCAAACAATTTAACTCAATCACAATTGGAACTATCTTCAATGTACTGAAATTAGAATATTATCCCTTTGTGGACATTTTAATATGCCATCAAGTGTAATTTGAAAAAAAGGTAAAGGTTACTTTGTTTAAATTAAACATGAAAGATTCTTTCAGTGTTTCTTAATGATGTATCTCTCAGCACAATTGATATCTTATGTTTATTTATACAGTGAATGACTAGGAATATTAAGTTGTTTACAAAACAGTTCATTTATTTTACAGTGAATTAAATCATAAACAAAATAGTTTATGGTATAAACAAGAGAACATTATGTACAACATTCAAAGAAATATACAAGTATTTACACAGTATATACAATAAAAGTCTATAATTTATAAAGAATTATTTTAAGTGTACTAAAATTTAGAATAAAACATTTTCATTTATTTCATTGACGAAGTTCATTATCATGTTATAAAGCATTTTTAAAATAAAATTAACATTTTATAAAATAAAATTATTCATTATTTATTGTATCATAGTTTGTTTTCACCCTGAAATATTAGCAATGTCATTGTGCTAGCAATGATCCACCCTGACAATTATTAGTGATGTAGTAGTTGTGCTAGCAATGATCCACCCTGACTCAGGTCTGAAATTCACCAAACCAAAGTGGCCGCTCTCCCTCCACCCACCCCACACACACTAATGAGCTGCCTGGATACTCTTATAGTTTAATCCGCTCCAAACATTTATATGCCTCACCCCATTTATGTGGTTAAGAAATCACGGCCTAGTAGTAAATGTATTATCTGTATTATATGTTCAAATAGCCTAAGGACGGTTTGTAAGAATGATTAAACATACAAGCTGAGCATATAAGAAGAGTTTTTATCCTCTGGAAAAAATGGGGCAGTAAATACAGTAAGTTTATACAAAATTTTATTAATGAGTTTTGTGAGTCTTCATCCCCCAACTAGGCCAGTGGTGAGATTCTCAATTTGTGCAATAAGTTTGTTTTGGTTTTTTTTACTTCATTACTAAGAGATTTTTTTTATAAATAATACCAAGTTAAATATTAAATTTCAAATTTATTTGTGGAAGAAAAAGAGGTTGGTCAAAACTTTAAAAAAAGCATCAGCTCATAAAATAAAGCAACCGAATCCCACCACTGCACCAACCCTTTCCTTGAAGAACTTCTGTATGCTAATTTCTCTGCTGGTTTCCACAAGATAACCACCGGTAGGTTAAGTCAAATCCTTAAAGAGGATTTTAATAAAAAGACAGCCTTGAAAAGCTGCAGAGACACACATATAGTTGCCATTGAAATGCAACAAGATCAAATTTCTGCAGGCAAAAACCATGTCTGTAGTATATTTACCACACATATCAGATCTCATCTCTTCCTCTGCATTTCGAAATCAGTGATAGGATTATGTACACTATTGTGTCTAAAGAATTGTCCACTGCTCCCAACATTTGCTAGTATTCATTGTACGAATATGTCTCTTTGTAAAGGCACCTCATAACATAAAATTCTATTTCCACAAAAATGTGAATTGTTGCGAGAATCAGCTGCTGTTATTTGCTTAGACATAAAATGAAGGGCTGTTTTATGTCATTTGCTATACTTACATGTCATTTACAGGCATCAATGAGGATGACACAATAATGGCTGCCAAGCATCAATTGAGCTATTTATATCAGCCCTCTGTATTGATATTAAATGATTAATGGTAAGAGAAAAATGATTTAGATTTTATCATCAAAGAAAATAGAGAGGTAACATTGCTTATGATGACTATTCATGGCTTTCCCCATTTCAGTTCTCCCACACTGAACTAGTTAAGAGTTTTGGAAGAATAAGAGAAGATTTAAATAGACTACTGAACCTTTTAAAAAGTATGGATTTTGTTTTCAAAATGTGCAGGTTTGATATTAAATAAATGCTAATGAGCCAGTGATGTGAACAATGAGTACAAGACCTTAGAAAGGAACACAAGGAATTAAAGAGATGATATTGCATCAGTTTCTTAACAAATAATTAAAAATAGAAGAAATTATGGGTAATAAAAATGAAGATGAGGACAGAGAGAGATGATGAGATTTTTCAGAGGAACTAGTACAGCAAAAGGTGATCAAAGATCAAATGAACAAGAATAGACTAGAAAGAATGTTACATCACCAAACGCAGTCTGGTATAGAAAGTTCAACTTTGTGAATATGCTTTCAAGCATTTGAAAGTTTTCAGCCATTTGAAGCACAAGAAGTTTCTATCTCAAGACAAAACTTTTAAGAGAAACAGACTTGATACATTTAGGAAAGAGGTTGGAAAACTGGGGTAAGTTACCCCAAGTGGGGCATAAATGGAAATTTTAGGGGTAATGAGGAGTAAATAGACATAAATAAAATTATAACAATATTTGAAGTGCGTTTTTACTGTTAAAAAATTCTGGCAACACTGCAACTAGCCAGTGTAATTTAGAAATGCACCCAACATGTTGTGGTTACTAGCGGGTCCACAGACAGAATAAGCTAACGTTGTCTTGTATACTTCATTTTGGCCTAGTTGCCTATTTTATATTATGCTCAATGTCTTTACTAGAGTTGGTGTCATCCAGTGCAGTAAATTCATTGTGTTCCCCCATCCATACCCAATGGACCTCCTATGAATTGGCCTGCTCTGGTGACACCATGCTCTTATGGCAACCTGGTCTGGTGGTACCCTACTTTGGTGCAGGTGGCACATGGCTCTTGTATTAAACTTAGATATGTTATGAAACCGAGCATTAACAAATTTACTAAATTTCTTTTGTTGGCATCCCCCTGCAAGGGTGGCATCCCCCTGCGAGGCTGGGCATCCCTCTGTGAGGATGTCAATGGAGGGGCAGTCTGCACCCCTAGTGAAGCTACTGCTTTTGTGCATAACAAGATGAGAAGATTTTCAAAATTCCTAACGAGGAAGCATTAAAAAAAGTCTACTAATAATGATTTTTCACTATAATGAACAACAACAAACAAAAACAAAGCAAAAGAAATCAATTATTTAACCTCAAAGATAGTATCCCCAATTTTGTATCTAATTGAAACATCCTTTCTACATTATTTGAAGTGAACATTTTTTCAAAGAAATTCTTTTATGCCATAATTAGGGTTTTTTAAAATTTATTTTAACAAATTTATTTTGTACTTTTTATAGTTATAATATGTTCTGCTTATAAATAGATGCACTACACCATTTTGAATTAAAAAAGTTAAGTTTTATGCCTTTGAAATTATGGGTAACCTCTGCATAAAAATTATATTTTTGGGAAACTGGTAAGAAAGTTCGCTGACGCCTGCTTTAGGAGATATACAAATAATTATTCTTTATTTTACTAAATGATTTTTTCTAAACATAAAGATGGTAGGAGGAAACATGCAAATTTTATAATTTTTAATAAATAGCTTTAAAAATCAAATTCCTGTGTGACAGCAAAACGTTGACAATAAAAAGCATCAACTTAACATTAGAATATATTTGTACAATGGTTTTTTTTTTTTTAATACATTAAATTTCTATATTTTGAAGCTATTCACGTTTTAAAAGAAATATTTGGTGTTTTTTATATCTTTAAATAAAATACAAATAATCACTTAGAAATTGCCAGCTTTAAAAAACTTCTTTTTGAAGAGCATAGTGTAGTGCACAATGTAAAAGTAATTGAACTTATAGAAGAGAGAAATGGTAAGTGTTGTGAAGAGTACCAGAGGAATACTTATTCTACATGTTCATATCACTGGCTCAGCTGTAGGAAATGATAAGTAAGTGACTTTGACAAGTGCCAATGACCAGACTGCGTGACAAATGTTACAACCAAACTTTGGGTTGAATCGCCATACTTCACAATTTGTTTTCTTATGCAGAACACAAAATTCTATTAATATTAATAAATTAATTTTTGTGTACTACATGTGTCTGTAGAGCTTCATAGGTGAGTTTCCTTTATACACAGTGGTTATCTTGTGGATCCCTGTTGAAAAATGTCCTGAATTTAAGACAAAGCTTCATGAAGTGAAAAGGATAAAGCAGTGAGAACTTTTTATCGGAGAAGAATTTGACAGTTTTAATGATAAGAGATGGAGCGAATTTGATACAACTTCTGCAGAAAATGAAGAGTAAAAATTCAGACTGTATTATGTTTTGGGTCTTAGGTATTGTTTGGCATGGGTTAACTTATATGTTATAAGTTAGAGGCATAGTATAGTAAAGACTGTGTTTAAGTTAGAAGCTTGTTCAAAATTTACAATGAAGACTAGATAAAAATTCATTGTGTAAAGATTGAGTAAAAAAATTATTTTAGCTAGTTATTATGAGGAATATTTGAAAAGTCATTTCATTTGAGTAAAGAAGAGGTATTATAAATAGATAGTGATTACTTATTACAAGCTAACCTCGGCATTTTCATGTAACACTATTTATCAAAGGTCTTATATTTTCAACAAATTTCTCAATACAAAGATCCTTACTTAATTAAGAAGGAATACAAAACATATATTGGAATAAGGAGGGACCAACCTATGGTTAGAGCTGATGAAGACAACTTCACTTCTGGTTGTATAAGAGATTATCAACTTGATGAAAAGAAATGTGAGATTTGTTCAGAATAATGAGATTAATAATTATCTTCAAAAAGTGATGCAGCTAAATGTGGGAATGTAAGTTTTGTTGGCTGTTAACAAATTAACCTCAAATGTCCAATACTTTTATAGTAGATTTTGTCACTTTGGTGGTGCTATATCTAAGAGTACTGAACACAAGGCTGACTAACATTTTCACTTAGGTAGTGCTATCTAAGAGTACTGAACACAAGCCTAACTAACGTTGTCACTTTGGTGATGCCAAATACGAATACTGGTACTGAACACAAGCCAAACTAACATTGTCACTTTGGTGATGCTATCTATGAGTACTGACTAAGGTGAGAAATATTCAGTAAACAACATAAAAAATTTGTTCAATTATTAAGGAGACAATGAGTCTAGAGATACTGTAGAAAAACACCAGCACAGGTTTGTATCACTAACCAACCTAAAGGTAAATTTGACAGTTGAAAAGATAGAAACAAATTGAAGCACAATGTCACCATTTGTTTGTAATGAGAAGCTTAGCAATCTTTGGTTTCTGTAGTGAGTGTACTTACTCTCACCCTAACATTTGGTTTCTGTGGTGTTTTGACTGCATTTGATCTCATCCTAACAGACACAGGAAGTAATGAAATGTAGTGTTTTGACTGCATTGATCTCACCCTAACAGACACAGGAAGTAATCAAGTGTAGTGTTTTGACTGCATTGATCTCACCCTAACAGACACAGGAAGTAATGAAATGTAGTGTTTTGACTGCATTGATCTCACCCTAACAGACACAGGAAGTAATCAAGTGTAGTGTTTTGACTGCATT